GGGCAAGATAATTATTTTAGAAATGAAATTGGAATTAATCATCACAAATAAGGAATACTCCCGAGAATTTCCCGAAGGTTACCGATTTAGTTGATTTGCTTGTAATAAAAACAGGCCCCGAGAAGAATTCGTTTTGTTTGATAACTACTATAAACCTCCTCATTTCCATATTGATGATAAGAAAAAATTTACCTTTTTTTCTTGGGAATCACGAAAACAAGCTGAAGAGTTGTTCTTTTACCACGTAAAAAACAGGTTTGGCTATTTTTTAATCGAAAATAAAATTAATAATTATGATTAAAAAAACCTTCATATTTAAATACGATCCGGAACTTACACCTGAGGGAATGTTTGCCGATTTTTGAAAAGCAGTAGACAAAAATAAACCATTGGGAGAAGCTCACATAATTCATTCCAACAGTATTAAGGCTCTGGAAGAGGATTTAAAAAGAATGGATTTATTTACGACTTTGGTCAAGAAAAAACCTACTTCTTTAACAGATTTAGCCAAGTTGTTAGGAAAAGATTACACTAACGTTTTAAATGAAGTTCAAATATTAGAAAGTATGGGAATCATTAAACTAGAAAAAGAAGCTGAAGAAATAAGGCCAATTGCTCTTTATGAACAAATAATATTTGACTTTTCGGTTCAGCAACCATTAATAAATATGATACAAATGGAAACGGTAACTGGCTGAGAAAATATCAAACCAATAACCAATAGGAGACTAGGAATAACTTATTTAAATTATGACATTAGAAAATAAACCGATTGAAATAGATCTTTTAATAATTGCTGATAATCCAGGCGTAAGAGAAGAATTGGTTAAGCAGGATATCTGAAATATGTATCTAGAATTTCGCCAAGATCGGGAGGGGAAAGAAAAAATTCATTCTTGATTGGTAGAAAAGCAAGCCTTTGAGGAGAAAAGTCTATTCCAAAACCCCATACTTGGTCCGGCTATTACTAGCGAAAGAAAAAATGTAGTGCTAGTAAAATTTCGTGAAGGAGATAAAGCGATTAAAAATACTATTCGCCAGTTGCAAGGAATTAATATTACGGAAGCAATTTTTGCCGAAAAGAATTTTGCTCGCCACTACCAAGGTCAGGAAGTTTGGTTAGTAGAAAAAGCTAAGGTAGAAAAAGGAGAATAAGCAGGCTAAGTTATTTAGGGAAAAAGTTTTGCTTTTTCTCAAGTCAATTTCTAAACTAAAAAATCCTCACCAAACATAAAATTTTCTAGTCAAATTCTGCCAAAATTTTTAACTCTATTTTCTGGATACGAATTGACAAGCAAATTTTCTAGCAATTTTAGCTAATTTTTTTAGTCATAAAATTGAGAGAATAAATGGTTTATAATATTAAATATGATAGACTATAAAAATTTAATCGCCCAAAATCCTAAGAGGGTTTTTCTGGTTTTTCTCAT